GTAAAGACATATGTAAAAAAAATAATTGGGTGACAGTGGTGGCGCACACCTTTAATCTCAACATGCAGGAGGCAGAGCCAGGCGGATCTCTGTGAGTTCGAGGCCAGCCTGGTCTACAGAGTGAGATCCAGGACAGGCACTGAAACTACACAGAGAAACCCTGTCTCGAAGAAACAAAAACAAACAAACAAACAAACAAAAATAATTCATGTCACTGTTTTGTTTGGTTTTGTTGAGACATCTCTCTGTAGCTCAGGCTGGCCTGGAATTCATAGCAATTCTCCTTTCTAAGTATTGGGATTACAGATGTGTGTCTCCACCCAGGGTTAGAAATGACATTTGACCAATTCCTGCAAGTTCCTATCTAGGCCTGAGAGGGACAGGGAATCTGGGAAGGACTCTTGAGTGACAGTCCTTTTAGCTGAAGTCTCGCAGCTTGCAAGGTGAACAGTGCTCAGATTCCTACCATTGGCTGGCAGTGTGGATTCTGGCTGGTACTTAGCTTCTAGAGGTGTCCTTTTAAGTGAAAATAAGTTTTTGTTTTTGTTTCTCAGGTTGGCTTAGCAATGCTGTGTTCAGGTCCTTTCTGCTTTTGACATTTTATGCAATCTATTTGAGACATTCTTTAAAAAGTAAAATCAGTATTATTAGTATTTGTTATTGCTGTTGTTGTTGTGGTGGTGGTGGTAGTGGTTTTGTGTGTGTGTGTGTGTGTGTGTGTGTGTGTGTGTGTGTGCAGGTCACAGTAACACCTCCAGGAATAGGCCTTCTCTTTCCCCATGGTTCCAGGGATCGTACTCAAATTGCCAGGCTCACATGGCAAGTGTTTTTCCCTGCTGAGCCATCTCACTGGGCCTGCCTGGGGGATTCTTCAGTCAGTCACGTCACAGTGTATGGGAGGGATGTGTGCAAGAAAGTGCTTGTGTCTTGTGGCTCTTTGAGTAGCAGAGACGTGCTCAGCTTTCCCCCAGCAGTACTAGGAAGCACAGACATCCCATATTCTCCATGTGTTGACACATGCGTTTCCTCTCTTCCCAGTCATTGGCTTCCTTCCTAAGAGGCCTCTTTAGTCCCGGTCCTCCCCCTTCGTGTGAGCCTCTATCTACCACGTGGCATCAGCTCTGCTTTTGCAGGCAGGGCAGCCATTGTGGGAACGAATCGTCACGCCAAGTGGAAGAGTGTGAGGCAAGGCAATGGCTCACTCAGCAAGGCTCCTGGAGCTTGACACTCAATGCGATTAGGAGTGGGGGGGGATGCTCACTCTGGCCTGACTTGCCACCTCACTTTAGTCAGCTGACAACCTGGGTGCCTTCACCACAAAAGGGAGCAATTTCCAAGACAGTCATGAGGTCTTTTTTTTTTTCTTCTTCACCTACTAATATGTGCGCTAGTCAGTTTTCTGTTGCTATAATACAATAGCTGAGACAGGGTACCTTACAAACAAAACAATGCTTATTTATCCTCCAGTTCTAGAGAATCAAGAGCATGGCCCTCTTATCGACTTGGTTCTCCTGGAGCTGTTCTACCTACATCAAAATGTGGCAGCTGGTGCTAGGACGGGCTAGGAAGCCACAGAGCAGGGAGGGGACACACTTGCTCTCTGTGCAACAATTCAGGGAACCAACCTGGGCTCTGAAAGAGCTCCATTAATCTCTTCTTAGCATGGCATCCCCGGTGGTCTACTTCTGGCATCCCTAGTGACCTACTTATCTTCCTGAGGCCCCATTCTTAAAGGTTCTAGCAGATCAACACCACAGCACTGGAGACCACACTTCCAATCCGTGAGCTTTTAGGAGACAAAGCCCATCCAAACACAGCAGCACATCACACTGTTAAAGAAATTAGTCGAAAGAACCAAAGCCTGTCCTCATGGCAGGGCATGGCTCATTTGCCAACCTCTCAGGACTTGGAAAACATCGTGTCTTGCCAGATTGTGGTGCTCATTGTTCTGTGAGCAAGAAGGAAACATTGATTTTCACTGGAGCCCTTATTACAATGCTTCTCTATTGCTTTGTGCTCCCAAACCCTATCTGCTTGTCCACTTGTCCATAGTCAGGAGGACAATTCTCTGTAGGATGCTGGGTAAAGGAAGACTCAGATAACTCAGTTCCTGGAAGCTGACTCAGAAAGGGCTCTCCAAAGAAAGTAGAGGAAGAAATCTAACAATTGATGGTGCTGGTCAATCCTTCTAATTATCACTGCAAAACCATGAAGAAATTCTCTGTTCTCCCAGCACTTCAGGCATCCGTCTTTGGGGAAAAGAGCCCTCCATGCGCCCTGTTGGGCATTTTTGGTTCAGCCACACATTTCTTCTTCTCTATGTTCTAAAGGCCACAGCAAGATTGTGTCAAAGCAACTATAAAGTCCCACAGGGCTGGATGATTTATATTTTCCTACCCAGCTGGTTTCAGCTGGTATTTCCATGGAGACTTGAGAGTGGGAAAGAGTTGATTCCTCTCCATGTTGGTCTTTATAACATCCCCCCAGCCTCATGGACTACAGAAGAGGTATTGAATGGCAAGGTGTGTTAGTTTTCCAGTCTAAGGTCGGGAAAGTCTGCTCCCCACACACCTTCTGTACCACATTGACGGTTGCCTCTCCAGAGGTTATTATTTCAACAAAGCAATAACTGCCCCACCCAAGAACACCTTTTCATTATTTAGCCAACACTTTCTGCTTCACATGTTACACCAAGTTCTATTTTGGCATCACGTTGTAGAGAATAGGAAGGTAGAAGCTGAGTTTTGGCAGAAACAAGACCCTAACTCTTGCTAATAGTTAACTTTTCCAAGCTCTCCATCCTAGAAGAAAGGTAAAATCAGGAAACACACACACACACACACACACACACACACACACACACACACACACACACACACACACACACACGGTACTCTCTCAGTGCATCCCACTTGGAACATGCCCAGACCAGAGAAAGCAAGGAAGAGAGACTGTGAATGTTCAGGACACAGGAAGGTACAGTTGTGGGCTGTGGGAATGAGTATGGATTTGTTTTACAAAGGAAATAAGTTCTTGAAGGACAGATCCATTAAGTATCGTCAAACATTAAATGCTTTTGGTAAAGAGGAATCACATCTGTATCTCTTGGCATCCAGGAAGAACTGACTATAATTTACCCCAGACAGAAAGATCCAGGAACTTTAGTCGTTTATAATTTACCTTACTAGTCAGCAAAAATGTCAAATAGCTTCAGTTTTCATTGCTCTTATTTTATTTGGACCATAAAGCAACAGAAAAGATTGCCTCCTCTGTTGTATTTGGAAGTGGCCTCGAAGGAGCTCAAACCAGGTGACTTCAGCCTTCCCTTCCTGGCCATGAATCATAATGAACGTTTTCAACAATCTATCCTCAAATTGGGCTTCGTCTTAGAAGAAGCCTGCATGAGAAGACTGTGTATGACATGGAGAAATGTGTGTGGTATAATGTGAGAGAAGAGGGCACCACCATAGGAGAAAGTGTGGATTGTAGGGTAAAGAAAATAGGAAGAAATAGACCAAAAATTCCACCAGGATGAAATTACCCTCATCCCACCATCAATTTGGAATCAAGAGATTGCAAATGCTCATCTTTTGCAAACATGACTCTGTTGGAAGAGGCACCGTGGTGACCTTCCTGGCTACCAGACTTGAATTAGACATTTATCTGAATGGAGCATCTGTAGTGGATTCTCTGGTTCTGTACTTTCCTTGGCTTCTGATTTGTTTTGTTTTGTTTTCCTTTTTGAGACACTCTCTTATATCTTAGGTTGGTCTTGAACTTGCTATTGACTTTGAACTTCCGATCCTCTTATTCCTCAGTGCTGGGATCACAGGTTTGTGCCATTTTGCCTGATTTATGCAGTATTAGATTCTAAACTCAGGGCTTTGTAAATATACTAGACAAGCACTCTACCAACTGAGCTACATTCCCAGGACACTTCTGACTCGTCACAGGTACATGGGTAGGCACACACACACATTTACATGCTTACTATCTTCCAATGTAAGCAGTGACGAGATGGAGAGGTGTCTCTGGGTGGGGGAATCTATACAAAGGACCTATGTGAAGGCCAACCAGCTGGTCCCAACCTTCCTCTAGTCACTTGAGGAACTCAGTGGCTGCAGAGTTGGATGTTGGTGCTGAATTCATGGGCTAATTGCTCCTAATCTAATCTGAGGGGACAGAGAAGAGAATTTTCCTAAGTTTAAGGGTTCAGGGGGCCAAAATCCTTCTATCCTTGACCCTCCTCCGAGGATTATGTTGGGGGAGGGCAGGTTGGCAGACTCCTAGAGGATGGTGTCAAGGTTCTTGAAATTCAGCCACATGGCCACCACCCTTTCTCAGGAGCTAGAGTTACACTGACCTCGTAATAGGACCCCTGTCTTTTTCCTGGCTCTGGGCCAGATGTCTATCTCCAAATTTGTCCGTGACTCCTCCCACCTTGTCTGTCCTCAGTCCTCAGTCCCACAACAGTGCAGCGAGGGAGAGTCAGGGGCAGGAGAAACCCTCTCACACGTGCGCGTGTGCTCATATCTGAGTCTCCCGACGACGACATACAGGCTAATCTTTCCAACGGTCAGGCTCGCCCCTGGCCTACAGACATTCGAAAGGCCTGGTTTCCTGTACTTATGTGCTTAGCGATCTGAGCGAGGAGGCCAGATTCTTGATCCATTTGCAAAAACCATCTATCCTTGCTCAGGTCTGTAGCCGTTGGCGGCTGTTCTTGGGCTTGGCAGTGGCTTTTGTTACTATGTGCGGCCAGTTGCAATGGCAACGGCAGCTAATGTTTATGGAGTGCTTGATAGGCATCAGGCGCTGTCGGAGCAATCCACATGCTAACCTGCTCAACCCCCAGCTCTGCACCACAGGGCAATTATATATTAGCTGTTTTGCAGATGAAGAGGCTGAGAGGCCCTTGCCCTTAAGCCAAGAGTGAGCGGGAGCCTGCTTCTGAATGCAAACAATATAACCCCAGAGGTCACTCATCCCTGTGCTTCCAGGGCCACGGCTGCTCTGAGAGAGTGGGGATGACTCAAGAGAACGTGACCCCCAGTATCTGGAAAGCAGGCCTCCAGCACGGCGGGGAGGAGGACAGGGGTGTGCAGGCCCTGCTGGCGTCCCAAGCCGCCATCTTGAATCAGCCACATCGCTCATCTGTGTGTTCCCAGTTACCAGTGTGAAACCAGACTCCAAGCACTGGAGGCTCGATTGGTTGACTGTCTTGTTGGGTTGGTAAGTACTTGCTTGAGTACTAAAGGGGTAGGAGCAGGTCTGTCTATCTGTGGATGATGCTGAGCATGGAGTAGTTCTGGTTACTGTTTCTTTCTTTTACATAGTTGTCATCCTCCTTTCCCCCAGCACACACATCACCATTCCTAATGGTTCTGCCCAAGGAAGTTTCTCTGGTGCTTCCTTCTAACTGATCTTGGTCTCTCTCTTCCTCCCGGTCTTGGGGAAGTTAGCTTCCCTAACTCATTCTCTGGGACTGACAAGCAGTCATCTAGAGGCTCTCCAAGACCCTAGGACCAAGGCTAGAATGCTTCCATACCCCCGAATTATGGAAGAAAGAATGGAAAACCCCAGCCTGGGCTTCAGGAAGTTTCCCCTGCTGTTGTGAATGATAAGAAGAGTTCACACTCTCAGCTTCCAGGCTGGACCAAGCAGGCATGTGCGGTGGTGCTGGTGAGTGGACTTGGCGATCACAATGGGACCTTGAAAGCTGGTCAAATGGCTGTAAACGTGGATGCTTTGAACACCTGGCTTTCTTTTTGCCTCCTGCCAGCTTGGACCCAGAACTAGCTGGACTCTGTCAAAGGGACCAGGGCTATAAGCAAAGCAGCTCTTACCCAATTTGGGTTGGCATGAGAGCAAACACATTGTCCTGGAGGCACATCCAGGTTGCCAACTCCAGACGATGGCAAGTGGTGTCCAGGGGCTCTGGCCTGGATAAGTGGGGCATTCTGAGTATTGACATGCAAATATACAGAGTACCATGTGTGTAGGTGGGCGGGAGCATTGCCTACAGGTTTAGGGCATTCCCCATGGGACTCTCAATTTCTCTTGAAGGCAGTGGCTTACTAGCCTGGTATAGTAGTGAACACTTGTGATCTCAGCATTCAAGAGGTTGCAGACAGGAGGATCTCAACGGTTTAAGGTTATCCTTGGCTACGTACCACGTGTGAGGTCAGCCTAGGCTATTGGAGACCCTGTCTCCAAAATAAAGTGTGGAGGCGGAGGGAGAGTGGGACGAGAGAGGAGAGTTCCAAGAAAAGAGAAAAGAAAGTGGGCAGCAGCGGGAGCCAGCTGCTAGGAGACATTGCTGGCTCATGTCTCAGGGGGATGCCCAAGAATGGACTTGGCTAGACCTCAGATGAAGTCTTGGCTGCCCAGGGTGCCCATCAGAAAGCTGCTCCTTCCCGCTCTGGCTGCTCCCATCCTGGGATCCCTGCAGGCGTACTCTAGACCTCTTGCTGCATCCCTTCCCCGTTGGCACGGGCACCTTGGCCGCATTCTCCTGGCTTCCCTGTGTTCTGTGTCCATCTTATCTCTCAGGTCTCTATCAGCAGCTTCCAGGTATGCAGCGTCCAGCGGACATGGAGCCTAGGCAGCATATTTGGTGACCTCCTCTCGGTCCCGTGACCCGAGGCAGCTCCAGGAACCTTGCTGCTTCCCCAAATATGGCTTTGCAGGGAGCTCTCCAGTGGGCCTGTTTCAGTGAGGGTAGGCTGAGTGCTTGAATGGTCAATGCCTTGATCTCAGTGGTGGCATATGATAGCTGTTTATTCTTGCCCCTATCTCTGGAGCAGGAGGAGTCGAATGACAAGGGGAAGGGCTTGGGGCTGGGGACTTCCTTCATTGTCACCGATTCTCTAGTGGGAGTCTTCACTGGCAGCTCTCCTGAGCAGAAGTTGTAGCACAGTGGTAGAGGGCTTGCCTGGCCTACTCAGAGAGCTGGGTTCCATCCCCAGCTCTGACACACACACACACACACACACACACACACACACACACACACACACAC